CCAGCTGGTCCTTTACCAATGACGGCTTTAGCCTTGTTTTAATCCATCTTCCTAGAGAAAAATTACTAAAATGCCCAGCCACTAAATTGCCCTAATTTCTTGACAACCTTCAGTCCATAACTGGTCTCCACTCCTTTAACTTTTCTGGAATAATCCAGCACAAGTCCAAACCCCACAGGAAGCCCCTTGTAGTCTTGGTGAGGCCCCTGTTGTTCCTCTGGAGAACTTTCTGCCCTGTGGTTGCAGGGTAAATAAACCTAACATTTTTACTATGAGTATGTTCCGGAAGACCTTTGGTCAGTGAGTTTTAAAACAATCTTTTCAACTTCGGAGCTTTGAATTTCCTCCTCTTTAGGTTATTTCCCTAGTTCAGTGGATAGTTCTGAAATTTTCCCTTTTGTTTGAGAGTCAGTGCCATTGTTTACCTCCCCCATTCATTTCTAGAAGCCATCTGTGCTACTTCTCAGACGAAAGGGATAAAAGATAAGGATTCTCGTTCAGGTTGGGTCACTCCAGCTTTGATGGCATTAGCAAGAATTTTCAGGATCTTATTAATTCACCAGGAAGGCTGCTGGGAGGTGAGACTGAAGGTAGGAGCTGAACTAAGCTGGACTTCTCCATTTGCTCCAGACAATTCTGGTTGTTTTCTTGGCCACCTGTCTTGTTTGGCTAATGCTGATGACGTGTGTCATTATCGCTTGTTTCATTAGCTATTGACGGAGAAGATTCATCATCTTAACTGTGAAGTCTGACATATATATTAGATTTTGCTTTATATTTTATAAGCTCTAAGGTGAGATATATAAAAGTCCAATACTTCTTTGTTAATTGTTCTTTTAATGATATGAAGTATCACTATTTGTCCCCTTTAGTGCTTTTCATCTTGAATTCTACCATTTGTTACATTAATATTGTAACATACATAACAAAGTCTTTTGTTTGGTGTGCTGGGAAAATATTTTGATATTTCAACCCATGTGTTGTTATCCAGTATGTAACTCTTTTTCCATTCAGATGACTAGATGCTTAGTCATCCTTTGCCTTAAGGTAGATTGTCACAATAGAACCAGGGCACAAAAGAGGCAAATCTTTGGCTAGTGAATTTCCAAGCTGAGGCTCTGCTGTAGGACATTCTGAGCCAGTTTCTTCACCCTCACTCAGAGGAGAGAAACACCAAGTACCATATTCATGAATTCGAGGATTCAGTACTGCTGCAATGTCAGCTCTCTCCAAATTGACTTACAGAACGATCGCAACCCTAATCCCAGCAGCACTTTTTTTTAAAAGAATGACAAGCTGATTCAAATTAATTAGAAGAACAAAATAAAAACAAATAATTCAGAATAGCAAAAATAATGTTGAAGAACAAAAAGTTGGAGGATACAGGGCTCTGCTACACACTGTTTAGTTCCACCACTCATTAGCTTTGCATCCTTAGATCAAATTTTCTCAGCCATCCTGGCCTTGGTGTCTTGATCAATAAAAAGTAGGTAATACTAGTACCTGCTTGTGTAGGATTTCTAAGAGGATTAACTGAGGTAATACATATACAGTGCTTAGAAAAGTGCTTGGAATATAGGGAGCCTTCACATGCATCATTGCTGTTGTCATTGTTTTTTCCTTGGCCAGTCGGAGGCGTGCAGGGACTGTACCGGGGAGCCTCCAGAGAGGCTTGCCAGCCCTTAACATGCTGTCCTCTTTAGCATGCCCTTGTCCAGTGGTACAGAGGACACGCACGGGGGCACTGCTCTCAGAGTGCCAGCCAGGAGGTGGTACACAAGGCTTATTTTCGAGTCCCCTAAATTTCCTTGGCATTTCAGTGCCTTATCCCTCTGCCGTGACTTAGATGTGGGGAAGCTGGTGTGGGGCTTGAAGCTACTCTACTGCTTCTGATTTTCTTTATTTGGCTTCCACCTGTCTCCCTTCTGTGGGATTTTGTCATCTCGGGGTAGGAAGAAAACCCAGTTTTCCCTGTTTGCATGGCCTCAAAAATAATTTCTGTCTCTTACCTGCTGAACACTAAGAAGCGGCACCTCGTTCCCGGAATAGGACACTCATTAGCTTAAGATGCTAATTTTTAGAAACTGAATTAAAGGTTTACAAGCAATGATATGTGTAGATCTTATAAATTTTGACAAATGTATACCCTCTTGTAACCTCCCCCCAATAAAGATATCGGAGATTTCTGTCACCTCAGAGGGTCCCTTCATCCCCAATACAGTCAGTCCTCAGCAACCCCACCCCCAGCAGGCAACCACTGTTTTGATATTTATTGAAATTGGCAGTTTTAGCTCCCAGATAAGGCACTACTGAGGGAGCAGTAACCACCAACTAACGCTCTGAAGCAAGCCACAACCAAACCACCACTGTCACCGTGAGCCTTTCGTGGTTGTTTATTCTGGACCAGCCACTTCGAAAAGCACTTTATGTGTGTTATCTCGTTTAATTCATTTAATCCCCACAAGCGCTCTGTGAGCCAAATCCTATTATCATCCTCATTTTCCAGTGAGGAAACTGAGGCTTTGAGAGATTAAATCACTGGCCAGATGTCTCTGGCTATTAAGCCCCAGAGCAGAAATAAGAACTTTGAAGGAACTTCAAGGCCAGTTCTCTATGAGGGGGACAGAGATCTGTAACTTCATGTTATTAAAAACTCACCCATTTCTAGGTTAATAAACAATGTTATTTATATTTGTTTCAATGCTGACTTCTAAAAATTTCTCAGTATAATCTCTGTTCTTTAGCAGAGTGTACTTTTCCAAGCTGTCAGCATGGTAAATCATGGTGATTCATGTTGGTGATTTCTCCAAAGCACATAAAAATGGTATCTTTTTTTTTTTTTACTAGCTGAAAAATGCCCTATTTGACAGCTGTGTAAACTCAATACACAATTCCCCTGGTCTGCTTATTTTAAAATAATCTTTTTGTGCGGGGGGCAATTAGGTTTAATTAATTAATTTTAATGGCAGTACTGGGGATTGAACCCAGGACCTCATGCATGCTAGGGATGCACTCTACCACTGAGCTATACCCTCCCCTTCACCTGCTAACTTTGAAATTATAAAATCCTGGACAGATTTTTTCAAACTGGAGATTGGGTAAGGATGGCATTGCTTCTGTTTCATGCATGTGGTCAGATTTTCTTAGTATTACAACTATGGCACTATTTCAAATGTGTGTCACTTCTAATTCAAGCATAAAGTAACAGCCTCCTTTATGAAATGGGAATAGGAAAAAAATGATTGGAAAACAGCACGGGGAAACTGACCAACTTTGCATCTTTAGCCAAATCTATGAACACTGAACATAGTTAGAAATCAATCCTGCCAGTGAATAGGTAGCAAAACCTGTACACGGGCAGGACCCAGAGATTTTTCTGGATTGGACAGTCTCAAATCATATAAGGATAACATGCAGAAATAGCTTACAAGATTATTAGAGGGCAGAAAAACTGCAATTTCATGATATTAGAGAAAAATAATCCAAACTCTACTTATAAGATGTTGAACTTCCAGGTTTTCTTTTTTTTTTTAAATGAGAGTTTATTGAATAAAATGTAAAAGATTTTTATGGCATATTCACGTTGTGTGACACTATGCATCCATTAAAAACATGAAGTAGATCTGTATGTAATGACACGGAAAACTTCCAGGATCTATTGTTATATGAAAAAAGTAAGGTGTGGAATAGTGTGTCCATTATGCTGCCATCTGTGTGTGCATGTGAGTGTGTGTGAGTGCATGCACACTCACACATATATGCCTGTATAGTAAAAGGACTTCTTTGGAAGCTTCCAGAAAACTGGTAGCAATGTTGTCTCTGGGGAAGACTGATGCACTGGGCACCAGGAAAGGAAGGGAGACTACTTTTACAGACTATGTTTCTGTTTTGCTTTAATTTATTTTGCCTATTAAGAAAAGCAAGAAACTTTGTATCATCTTAGCTTCAATGATTGGTTCATAGATGGTCTGTAAGTCAGGCCAGTCAGAGTCAATGAAACATTTGTTGGAGCTGTTAGACAAGTATGCTTTTATTTATTTTTTTACTAGAGTTGGTGAGAGGATAGAATAGGATGGTAGCCTGGACTTGGTGACAACCATCTTCTCCACCAGGAGTGGCAAAAACTGCTTGGCAATGAGAAGAATATGGAAGAAAGCAGAGAACAGAGATTAAGAGAGCAAGACTATTTTCTGAGGATAGCATTTGAACGTGTGGATCCAACCATGCCTCACTGGTCCCATTCCTGGACTTTGTGATTCTGTAAACTAATAAGTGCCCTTTTCTGATAAACCAGTTGTAAAGGGGTTTCTGTCACTTACAAATGAAAAAGTGCTGACAAATACAGATGGAATGCTGCCCTGACGTTGTATTACTATGTGACTTTTACATAAGATCAGAACATTGCTTAAGCCTTTCTGAATTTCCTGTATCTTTTTCATTAAAAAGATACTTTTTTACTTTGAAAAACTTAAACTTGTAAGAATAGTGCCACAACTTGCAAGAGTGGAACAATGAACTCTCACCTCGAGTTATCAACTAATATTTTGCAAACTATTAATTGCCTCATTGACTGATTTCATTTTTATTATTTTTGCTGAGGCATTTGATAATTAGCCATAGACATTATGACTGTTCACTTCTAGATGTTTCAGTGTGCTTGTCCTAAAAGTATTCTCTTATATAGCTACATTATAACGATCAAATTCAGGAAAATTAACATTGATACAATATTATCATCTAGTATATAATTCATATTCAAATTTCACTCATTGTTTTAATGCCCTTTTTAAAAGTTGAAATGTAATTCAAAGACTATAAAATTCACCCTTTTCAAGTGTACAATTCAGCAACTCTTAGGTATATTCACAGAATAGCGCAAACATCACCACAATCTAATTTCAGAACATTTCATCACCCCAAAAAGAAACCCTAAACCCATTAGTAGTCATTCCCTGCTTCCATCTCTCCCCCAGCCTCTGACCACCACTAATATATTTCCTCTCTCTATGAATTTTGTCAATTCTGAACATTTGATATAAATGGAATCACACAAAATGCAATTGAGAGAGAGGGAGGGGAGGGGAGGGGAAGGGGGAGAAGGAGAGGGAGCGAGCTAGTAAGTGCCCTTTTCTGATGAACCTTTGTTTGTCTATTCCTCAATGATGGACATTTGGGTTGTTTCTACTCTATTTCTTCTTGGGTCAGTTTCTGCAGTTTTTGTCTTTCTAGGAATTTGATCATCGAGGTTATCTAATTCGTTGAAATACATAGTATTCCCTTCTAATTCTTGGCATTTCTGTAAAGTCAACAGTAATGTCTTCCCTTGCACACCTGATGTTAGCAATTTAGCCTTTTTCTTTTTTCCTTGATCCGTATAGCTGAAGACTTGTCAATTTTGTCGGTCTTTTCAAAGAAAC